GCAAGCCCCAATCTTTGTCAAGCGTCGGGCACCTTGACAGAAACTTCATGTAAGTCTCACAATACAAGAAAGAATTAATTGATAAATAATCAAGTACCAAAAAAAATCATAAACAAAAGAAATAACAATCATATCTAAGTATACAATCCGATATCCTGTAAACTTACTTGAGAATTGGATGAACTGAACAAGAACAAATTATATATGATTCATCTATAAAAAATATTCTGTGAATTATATGAAAAATAATAACATGAGGAGAATAAAATATTTCTCTACTTATTGGTGTCTCGCTCACTCAATTGCACTAAATAATAAATTAGTTCCCAACATAAAAAAAATGGTGAGCCAAAGGCCTGATCAGTTAAAAAAAATAAAAAGGAGCAATTTTTATGTACATTTACAAAGATCTTTATCTATGTACATCTTCCAACCGAATTTCTCTCTTAGATGGGGGTGAAGAGAATTAGAGAATGTAGTAACCCTAGATTAGGGACCATAACCCCTTATTTATAGATGTTGTACTTTTGTAATTTAGCCCCTCAATAAATCACAATTACAACCTGGTGTCTGCACATATAACCCCATGATTCTATTTAAATACCCATTAACCCAACTTAATTGATCACTTTAGTGGGTTATCCTGAAAGATAGCAATACACATTTATTAATCATATGTGCCCACAAATAGAATTATTAGATTAAATCCAACAATATGATGGTGTCTTTGGTTTAGTACCAGGCTCCGAATCTCATGGTAAGTATTTAAATGCAATTTTTGCAAGATAACTCTCAGTACTATGCTTTCATCATCTGGTGATATGTTAAGTGACTTCAATCATTTATTCACGTATGCATATGCTACAAGTTTTGAAGGTAGATTATTTTAAATTTGAAGTAGTCCTTTTTCTGAAGCAATTTTCAAGTGTTATCAATAGTAAATTAAATTCTTACATAATGAAATATATTGAAGATTTGAGGGACTAATATTGAAATAACGTATCTCTTTAATATATGTTAGACATTAGATTTGGTTATGGTTCTTGATTACAGATGATTGTTTTAGTTTCTCAAGTTTGAACCTGATATTAGGTAGATCAACATTTATCTGCATTCCGCATGTATCTTTTAAAATTAATAATATATATTATAAATACTCTTTTCACCCCCATAAGCTAATATTTCGAATAAACCTGCAAAAATAAATCCAGAAATCAAACTCGAAAACTTTGCGTGAGTGAGAGGGAGCTGCGACCGTAATATATCTTCTATCAAATTTTGAGTTCTTTCAGAACGATAGAAATCAATTCGACTGTTTTGATGACTGCATTCGGAGCATGCAGGTATTGTATCATTGAAGTACCCATGTCATCTGAGTAAAGAATAGAGCTTCAGTTTTGTGTTTCCGTGATAAAGCATCGTGTTGGTTAAAATAAGCAAAATGTCCCTGGATGCCTTACGCAACTTTGTACGTCAAGTTTCCCTTGTTAAACAATGATATCCCTTCACAGTTTGCGTTAGAATATCCTTTTTGTATCTTTTCTTGTTTTTGTTAGTATTTCTGAATTTTCTACATTTTAGGATTTTGTTTATAAAAAAACAGAGTGTAGAGGTGGAAGTGCACAAGATCAAGCCTAATTGGAAAAACTGGATCGTGCCAATTGAAACAGCAATATAGTAAAATCAATCAGCGGAGATGGTATGGTTATGTGAAACATGGATCATGAAAAAACTCAAGAGTTGCCTGGAGGTCCTGGAATATTAAATATGATACTATGAGAAATAATTTTGACCATCTTGCAGGACGCTAAGCATGGTTTGTATTTTCAATAGATTGCAAGGAAGGAATTATTGAGTTACTAACTGTTTATGATATAACCTAATATGGACAGATATTGACAGAGAAGTAAAGTGCTAGTTTTCAACAAAGTATCAAGTAGACTCATAGTATTCATTGTCTTTTACTAAGGGTTTTTTGAGTTCTAAACTATAAGTAATACAGAGCATAAATTATTTCTCATAGTATTCATTGTCGTATAATACAAACATTCCAAAGTAAATGAAAATGTCATTGAAATCACTAAAAATAATTAGCTCACAGCGTAGAGATTCAAAGCATAGAGCGAAGGAAGAACATAAACCTTGGCGGTGTACTGATTGCAGGCTGTCTGGCCGACGAAGTAATCAGCTGCAGCCGC